CGCATGGCCTCGTGTCCTATGTAAAGTCCAGTTTGTGAATAGATTTTATTGGCCCTGAATATATTTGTATAAGGCAACTTTTTTCTAAACTAAATAGGTTTAAATTTGTTAACCTTTCTTCATAGCTGATATGTTCCATTCCTTTTATTAACTTTGTAGCCCGCCTCTGCACTTTTTCTAGTGCCATAATATCCTTCTTTAGAACAGGTGCCCAAATTTGCACAGCATATTCAATATGGGGTCTTACCAGTGATTTATAAAGAGGCAAAATGATATTCTCGTCCCGAGAATGAATGCCCTTTTTCATACATGACAATACCTTACTGGCCTTGGCCACTGCTGATTGACATTGCACATTGTTGCATAGTTTGTTGTCTATAACAATTCCCAAGTCCTTTTCGTGTGTTGTTATCCCTAATTCGCTTCCATTAAGGGTATACGTTGCTTGTGTATTATTGCTTCTTTTATACTGGTTTTTACACAATGTTACCACCCACAGGATTTTGTGGCACAGCCAATCAAATACATTATAATACAGTTAAACACTCCTAGTTAGGTCAAACAAACCCTCCCCTCTGCCTGTGATAATTGCTATACACAATGGGCTGATGTAATTATCACAGGCAGGAAAATACAGTTTTTATACAATTCTTATAACTTCTAAAATCCAATCTCCAAAAAAATACATATTAATAATTAGCACACTTCAAATATAAACATATCCAAAATTCAGACAATTCCCTTCAGTGGTTAAAAACTTAGTTGGAAGTCCTTTTTTGACCGAAGAGGGACAAATCAGCCAGTTCCAACTGGTCTGGCAGGGACCCTTGGACAACGCCCTGCTGGAGAACAATAGGGGGAGGGGGGAGGCACACCTTCCCATGGATTCAAAGGGGCAGAAAAAGTGTCCCAAAATCCAATAAGCCCAAACAATGTTTATAAAAGGCAAACCCTCCCAGGGGCCATAGTCAGAAGGTAGGAGGAGGGCAAACAGGCCCCTCCAAAAACCAGTGGCAAGGTCACTTTCGCCATAGTTACTAAAAAACTATTTAAAGGAATGCTCCCACCCCATAACAACTCCATCTCAAGAAAGTTGCTATGATGGATGGTAAGCCTGGGCTCCATTACCTTCAGGGATTAAACTTTTTCCAAACGCTTTGATCCCAAAGTTGGTCCCCCATCAGCACTGCCTCCCTCAGCCTTTCTCAGTTCGCTGCACAGTTCAGGAAGCAAGGCAAACCTTCCTGAACTGTCTAGTGACCAGAGGAGGAGTCAGAAGGTCATGCTGCTCTGACCCTGGGAACCATTCACTAACAGTTTAATCCCTTAAGGTCAGATGGCACCCAAAGACTCCAGCCCCCACAACAACTTCATTGAGATGGATTCTTATGAGGCTGGAGTCATCTGGTAGTGCTCCTTTAAAGGATGCCTGTTCTGAGGCTACTGCATTAACATGCCATAATCTCCCCAACATATCTACCTGAAGAACAAAGGCTGATTATTTCCATCTGTAAAATCAGGTGGTTTCAAATTGTTTTATCTGGTGAGAAGTTACAGTTCTGCAATGGGAATGGACTTTCGGTGCTGAGGGGGACACTGAGTTTAGTTAAAATACTCCAAAATGGCTTCCTAGGAAAAGGAAAAAATGAATAAAAAACCCTCACCACCAGTGTGGTACCTGACCGCTACACCGAACAAATGCATGTTTACATCGCTCTTCCGATTTTCTTATGCCTACCAGGTTACCTGTAGCGGTACTTACCCGTACAACGAGCCGGCCAGGGTCCTCCGCTCGAGCTTCCATGTTTTGAGCGTGCTGCATATGTGACCGTTAAGAATGGGCACGTGGCCCGCTGCATGTACTGCTCAAGGAGCAAGCATGCTTCTAATGGGGAAACAGGAGCCTCGGGCTTCCATTGGTCCGCGTCATTCCAGTGCCCTGATACACGTCATGACGTGGACCAATCACATGTTATTGATAGGGTATTTAAATCTCCCTAGTCCTGTACACTGTGCACTATTGTGGTTTCTGTCCGAGTACCCTTTAGTGCGTTCCTTGATCTCTTGTATTATATTGTTCTGGTATTAAAGGAACACTATAGTCACCTAAATTACTTAAGCTAAATAAAGCAGTTTTAGTGTATAGATCATTCCCCTGCAATTCCACTGCTCAATTCACTGCCATTTAGGAGTTAAATCACGTTGTTTCTGTTTATGCAGCCCTAGCCACACCTCCCCTGGCTATGACAGAGCCTGCATGAAAAAAAAAACTGATTTCAATTTCAAACAGATGTAATTTACCTTAAATAATTGTATCTCAATCTCTAAATTGAACTTTAATCACATACAGGAGGCTCTTGCAGGGTCTAGCAAGCTATTAACATAGCAGGGGATAAGAAAATCTTAAATAAACAGAACTTGCAATAAAGAAAGCCTAAATAGGGCTCTCTTTACAGGAAGTGTTTATGGAAGGCTGTGCAAGTCACATGCAGGGAGGTGTGACTAGGGTTCATAAACAAAGGGATTTAACTCCTAAATGGCAGAGGATTGAGCAGTGAGGCTGCAGGGGCATGTTCTATACACCAAAACTGCTTCATTAAGCTAAAGTTGTTCAGGTGACTATAGTGTCCCTTTAACCGTGGCTTTGTTCTGACTCCATGTTTATCTTTAACCTTTACCTGTGTTGTCTGGTGTGTCTCTTTAATAATAACTATGGACTAGGTCAATGTAGAAATTAGGGATATGTGGAAGGTACCATAAACAGATTGCATTCTAGGACGTTCCCTAGAAATCCCATCCTCGTGATGGCTGTCTAGAAATGCCTAGAACCTGAAGATTTATATAAAGAGCTTTCCTCTATAATAATGACCAATAGTCTGCAAGTGACTCATTTTTTCCTTTGAAATCTTGAAATAGCACAGTGGTTTCACATTCCTGACATTATCAGACACCATACAGTGATAAGAGGTGGAAAAGAGAGATTTGAGATATGCAAGTCACCTTCCTGGCAGTCATATTGTCTCCTCGATCTTAACTGTAAATGTGTTTTCCATAGTTATTGTATTTTTGGTGTTGCAGTTCTATATTTACATGTAGGTCTCTTTGTATAAAAGAAAAACCCTTTCCTTCTGTGCAATAATTCTACCTGAACCTTATAATTCTGCAGTCTATTGTAACAATTAGAAAAAGTGACATTGCCTCAATTCCATATATTGCACATACTCCACATAGGAAAAATCACACATCATTCTAAACATCAATAACCAACTGATTTAGGCAGGTTATTCACTAAACATTTAATTGTATATTTACTATTATTTATACAGAACCAACATATTCTGCAGTGTTGTATAAAATGGAAACAAGCAAACATTAAAAAAAAGTTTAGTTTCATTGTAATTATTTCCAAAATCTAGGGGATAAATCAGGGGACTCATGTGCCCCATTCTAATTTTTAAACCCTGACCTTTATGGCCAGGTTTGAATACCACCGGTCCAGGCATACTTACAAGGCGTAGTGTAGGAACTCACCTATTGAGGCTTGCCTTGACGTGGCAGGTGAGCTTATATATTCAAATGGACATTAGAATTAAACTAAAGAGCCTCCATTTTTGTTTGAATGCACATGGGGATTTGGGCCAGAGCGCAGGTAACGTTTTCTTTGTTTTTATTAAATACTTACAAGGCATCCCACAACACCACCAACTGTATAGGAATCTGGTAGGGAGCTCCACTTTAAGCGTGTGCGCCAATCCTGAACCACTAGTGCATGGTGTCTCCTAACTTTACGCTCCCCTTTAGTCCCAGTCTAGACAGATCCTGCTGTCTTTATTTGGACATGGGACGAAGCCCTGGGGACATGGGCGTCCGCAGGGGGGGCAAAGGGGGGCACTTGCTCCCCCTTGGATTTTTCAGCTTGTGCTGCTTTTTTCGTGTGAGATTTAAAATGAACTGTAATACCGGCGCCGGCGCTGTGTATAGAGAGAGACAGGGATAGGAAGCTGCATCTTATCCCTGCTTCTCTCTGCTAATTGAAACCGCAGGGGAACAACACATGCAGCCAGAGACAGCCTACAGATCAGGTAAGTGAGGGATGGGGGGAGGGTTTGAGATAGCCTATAGATTTTTTGGGGGGGCAGCAGCCTATAGATTTTTTGGGCTATAGATTTGGGGGGCAGCAGCCTATAGGTTATTTTGCAGCAACCTATAGGTTTTTGGGGAGCAGCAGCCTATAGATTTTTGGGCAGCAGGGGGCAGCAGCCTATAGATTTGGGGGGCAGCAGCCTATAGATTTTGGGGGCAGCAGCCTAGATTTGTTGGGGCAGCAGCCTATAGATTTGGGGGCAGCAGCCTATAGATTGGGGGGGCATTTGGGGGGGGCAGCAGCCTATAGATTTTGGGAGGGGGCAGCAGCCTATAGATTAGGGGAGTGAGGCATGGGGGGGCAGCCTATAGATTAGGGAAGTGAGCATAGGCGTGCGCACCTATTGCATTAGGGTGTGCACCCTAAAGCACAAACACACGCCATGTGTATATGTATGTGTGTGTGTGTGTATATATATGTATGTGTGTGTGTGTGAGGGTGCTGTTTGTGAGGGAACTGGTAGTGTGCTTGTGTGTGTGTGTGAGAGGGTGTTTGTGTGTGCGTCCTTGTTCGGGTCCTGTTAGTGTGCTGTGTGTGAGGGTGCTGTTTGTGAGGGAACTGGTAGTGTGCTGTGTGGTTGTGTGTGTGTGTGTGAGAGGGTGTTTGTGTGTGCGTGTTTGTTCGGGTCCTGTTAGTGTGCTGTTTGTGTGCAGGTGTTGTGTGTTTGTCAGGGTGCTGTTTGTATGAGAGTGTGCTGTTTGTGTGTGGGTGCTGTGTGTTTGTGAGGATGCTGTTAGTGTACTGGGTGTGTGTGGGTGTTGTATGTGTGTGGGTGCTGTATGTGTGTAGGTGCTGTGTGTGTGTGTAGGTGCTGTTTGTGTGTAGGTGCTGTGTGTGTGTGTGTGTGGGTGCTGTTTGTGTGTGTGCCGTATGTTTGGGTGGAGGTGGGGGCAGACTAGTTAATATCCCAGTCCTGCTGCCTTCCCTGGTGGTTCAGTGGAGAGTGAACTCTAGCCCGGGTTGTCTGCTGCCTCCCTCCATGCTGCTGTGGACCGGTGAGGTAGAACTTTGATCTCCCCACCGGCCCATGGAGGCTTAGACCAGAGCCGCCGCTCGGATAGCGTCGGCTCTGCATGAGCCGACCGGGGAGATCCAGAGATCTCCCCTGCCGGTCTCAATCCATTGGCGTGCCGCGGGGATTAGGGTGTGCCCAGGCACACCCGACACACCCCGTGCGCACGCCTATAGAAGTGAGGGATGGGGGAGACAGCCTACATGAAGAGTCAGCAAGGAGCAGGAAGGTAAGGTAAGAAAAGGAGAAGGAACAGAAATGAGCAGGAAGGGACATCAAGGAGCAGCAAGGAGCTGGAAGGGACAGCAAGGAGCACAAAAGGTAAAGTAGGAGAAGGAGCACAAAGGAACAGAAATGAACAGGAAGGGTCAGCAAGGAGCTGGAAGGTAAAGCAGCACAAAGGTAAAGTAGAAGGAGCAGAAAGGGTCAGAAATGAGCTGGAAGGGGCAGAAGGAGCACAAAGGTAAAGTAGGAGAATGAGCAGGAAGAGGCAGCAAGGAGCAGAAAGGGACAGCAAGGAGCAGAAAGGTAAAGGAGCAGAAAGAATCAGAAGGAGCACAAAGGTAAAGTAGGAGAAAGAGCAGAAAGGGACAGCAGAAAGTAGCAGAAAGGTAAAAGAGCAGAAGGGGCCAAGGATAGAAAACAGTGTCAGAAGAAAAAAAAAGACTGTTAAATGAAGGAGAGGAAAAGGAGATTGGAGCAGGAAGGACAAATGAAGTGAACCCTCCACTTTATTCTGGACACCACATCATAAGCTTTGGTACCTGGGCCAGGCAGGGAAACGCTGGACCTTCTCATCTCCAAAGGTAAAAAAATATCAGTATTAATGCGTTCACTTTTATTTACTGAGTGTCAGGAAGCACAGAGTGCCGTTGGGTAGGGGTGTTGATGATTGGCTAGGGTGGTCAGCTGGCACTCTAAGCCAATCAGTAGCTCCCCATTCATAAAAAAGTAAAAATATTTTATGAACCGGGAAGTAGCGATTGGCTTAGAGTGTCAACTGTCCACTCTAGCCAATCAGCGGCACCCATGCCTGACGTCAATCTGCACTTCCTGACACTCTGTTTCAGAAGCCAAATACCACTGAGCGACCTGGAGCTGGAGGAAGCCTTTGGGGTTAAACCATTTGAGAGCAATTTAACCCCTTAAAGGAAAGCGAGCACCCAGGGGCTTCCTGGCATCATAGCATTTTCATTTAGGTGAAGTTGTTATGGTGACCAGAATGGTCCTTTAATTTGCTTAAAGGAACACTATAGTGTCAGGAATACAAACATATATTCCTGACACCATAGTTGTGAAAACGCTATTCACCCTGGCTTTATGTGATAATGGCTATGCCCCTTCCCTTTCATGACACTGTCAAAAAGGTACCAAGCATGGATGTCATTACAATTATGCCCCCCCCTGGAAAAATTCCTGCGGACGCCCATGCCTGGGGAAGACATTTACTGGACCCCAATGGCAGAAAATTGGTAACCTATTATACCACTGTTCCTTAAATGAGCACTCAACTTCCCACATTGAGAGGTGGGGGAGGGGAGGGGGAGAATCACCGTTTAGTAGCATTTTCATGCATGCATTCTTTAGAGGTATATCTTAAAAGAGCTTGAAAAGTATACAGTTCTTGTGAACTGCAGCCTTAGCAAGCCCTCACCTTTTTTTCCAGAAGAGACTTGCAGTCTCTTCACAGGAAAATAACCAATCAGAAGTTTCTCATTGAGAAGCCTCTGAATTGGTGCACACATGCACACAAGTGCACTGCCTGTTCGTGCACAAGCGCACAGATACGGGTGCGCGAGCACACGTCTGTTTTGAGGTCTGGAGCCAAGGAAATGGTGAGTGGGGAAGCAGGCACGCTCAAGGAGTCTGCAAACCTCCCTGGCTGTTTGATTGACAGCCAATGTGGTGTTCCCTAGCATAGAAATCAGCACTTTTATAAACTGGAACTAAACTAGTCTACTCCTCACCCATAAAGCACTTCAGCAAACTGAAGTGCTTTTGGGGTGTGGAGTGGTCCTTTAAGTATTAATACACAGGAAATGCCTTATATACTTTGCTTTTATACTTTTATATACTATGTTACAGAGAGGGTTATCCACTGGACTTTGCTTGAAGTGCCATAACACAAAGAGTACGACGCTACGCATCTGGTGGAATTGCCCTTTGATACACTGGAGGAAAATCCAAATCTAAATTCTCTGCCAATTCACCCACCTTTGAACCAGCACTCTTTCTCCTACGTGGTGACATATAACTAGTCAATGAAAGTCCACATCTGGAACATTGTGGAGAGCCTCATTCCACTGTACTGGGAGCAGTCTATCACTTGCCCCCTTCCAGACCTATGTTATTCATGCATGGAGAAACTCTGAGCTATGAACGGGTTGATTTTTGCTGCATCTGGGAGGGAGCAGACGTACGCGGGCATTTGGATGCATTGGATTGTGACTTTCACATCAGGGGACTTAAGAGTTTTGCTGTTCTAGTTTATGGTGTACCCGTGTGGTAATTGCTCCTGGTGTGGATGAGGCTCAAGAGATGTAGGAAACGGTCACATTTCTGGCTACCATGCAGTGATTACACTCTCCGGTGGGAGTCGCTTGGCAACCTCAAAGTCCGGGTATCCATGACTCTTATGTGCGGGAGAACACTATGCACTGTTCTCCATGCTGCACGGCATTCTCCTGCTCCGGCTACAAGACATGTTCCTCATGTCACAGGGGTCATGGGGTTGCCAGGCATTGTGCAAAACACTACATTTTTTAATAAAAAATGTAAGGGTCATAATTACGGGACACTTCCTTCTCCCTTCCCAAGTCGCACCCTTTTGCATGATTTGGCGAATGGTGATGATGCTGTCCAATAATGTTTACATTCACCATATTTGTGTATATATATATATTTCCCTCTTCGTCTCTGTTACCCGAGAATGCATTCAGAGATCGTTTATATTCTTGTTACTGACTATTCTGTTTATCTGCTATTCTTGACTTCTGTTTCTGCCCATTTATTTATATGTACTTCTAGAATCCTTGACCTCGTTTTTTTTTCTACTTTACTATTTTCACCTATCCTCAATGGCAGAAAATGCAAGTATACGGAACCTCTGTTTCTTATTTGCCAATAATTTCCCTATTCTCTGTGTTAGGGTGTATTGGAGACACGCTGGACACATGGTATGCCATATTGGGTAGATCTGCAAGGGCTTTTAGTGTTATTTTATTGCTTTGGTTGTCCGCTCCCAATAAAATACAGTACTGTCAATGATATATCTGTTAAATTTAAAAGTACATTTTAAAAAAGCATAATAGACAGAGGTGCCCTTGTTCCAATATTGATTGTTACTTTATAAAAGAATAGCAATCTCATTGCCAATATTCCATTATCCAAGGGAGCAGAACAATGATAAACTGTAACTAGAGTCATGGTACGCAGTTTACTTTTTTGGAGTGACTACATTTTTTGTTACCATGCTTCTCACCCCCCTGGTGACAAAAAACAGATGGGGAACTCAGAAGGAAATATGGGAGACATATCTTGCACAGGGATGATATGAAGGCAGCTTCTTGACTGTGAAGTGCTCAGTGATTAACTTTGAAAGCCAGAGAATTATGGTGTTTTTTTTTTGCGTATGCATGCTGTGTGTGGGAGTGTGATTCTTACATTCATACACTGAGTACTGCCAATATGTGCTGCAAAAAAAGAACCAATTCAGAAGAGCTGGAATGGTCCATGGGACCACAGACACTATTTTCCTATACCCACTCATTTAATTTACATTCTCTGTGTACAAGCAAAGGATGTTCATTAACTCCTGCAAAAACTGTAAAAGAGACCAGAACAAGGAAGTTTAGCAAAAGATAATAAATGTCTCCTGCCCACATAAAATGTTCCATTCCCGAGAACAATGTATTTAAATGTAATTCTGATTAGCTTGGGTGTAAATATAGCGAAATGCCATTATAAGAGGCACATTTACAATGTATTGTGGCCTGGTTTTCCTTTATATTTTAAATCACTGTATACAGACAACTGGCCTGCTGTTAATTCAAACTTTAAAAAAAATAAAATTTATTTATTTGTTTATTATTGCCATTTATATAGCGCCAACAGATTCCGTAGCGCTTTACAATATTATGAGAGGGGATTTAACTATAAATAGGACAATTACAAATAAACTTACAGGAACAATAGGTTGAAGAGGACCCTGCTCAATCGAGCTTACATTCTATAGGAGGTGGGGTGTAAAACACAGTAGGACAGGAATTTGCAATCAAATAAGGTGGGCTGCCCTTTAGGAGAGGGCAAGAGACAGGTATGTGAGGTAGGGGTTAGTCTTGGAGGCCATAAGCTTTCCTAAAGAGATGGGTTTTAAGGCACTTCTTAAAAGATGCAAGACTAGGGGAGAGTCTGATGGCGGGAGGCAGGCTATTCCATAGGAAGGGAGCCGCCCGCGAGAAGTCCTGCAAGCGCGAGTTGGCCGTACGGGTGCGGACAACGGACAGGAGGTGGTCACGGGCAGAGCGGAGAGACCGAGAAGGGACATACCTATGGATCTGTGAGGAGATATAAGAGGGGCTAGAGTTGTTCAGTGCTTTATAGGTGTGAGTTAGTGCCTTGAATTGACTCCTATAGCACACAGGAAGCCAATGTAAGGACTGGCAGAGGGGTGAGGTGTGAGAGAACCGACTAGAGAGGAAAATCAGTCTAGCAGCAGCGTTCATTACAGACTGTAGGGGTGCAGTACGGCTTTTGGGAAGACCAAGCAGGAGAGGGTTACAATAATCCATGCGGGAAATTACTAGAGCATGGACAAGCTCCTTGGTAGTATCTGGTGCAAGAAAGGGGCGGATGCGGGCTATGTTTTTAAGATGGAATCTACAGGATTTGGCAATATGCTGGATGTGAGGCTCAAAGGTGAGACCAGAGTCAAGTATGACGCCAAGACAGCGCGCTTGCAAGGATGGGCTGATGTTGGTACCACAAACGTGAAGGGAGAGCGAAAGAGGAGGATCAGTATTAGGAGGAGGAAAGACAAGGAGCTCGGTTTTTGAGAGATTGAGTTTCAGAAAGCGGGAGGACATCCATTCAGAGATGGAAGGAAGGCAAGCAGTGACACGTTGCAGGACAGCAGGGGAGAGGTCTGGGGAGGAGAGATATAGCTGGGTGTCATCAGCGTACAGGTGGTAGTGGAATCCAAATGAGGTAATAAGTTTGCCAAGAGAGGCAATATAAAGAGAAAATAGAACGGGACCAAGGACGGAGCCTTGGGGGACTCCAACCGAGACAGGGC